TCTGATCCTTCCGCCTCAGCCTTCCGAGTAGCCGGAATTACAGGCATGTGCTACCACGCCCGGCTGATTTTTTGATTTATTGTAGAGATGAGGTCTCGCTGCCCAGGCGGGTCTCGAACCCGCGGACTCATGCAATCCACTCACCTCAGCCTCCCAAAGGCGCGGGGTTACAGGCTGAGCCACCGAGCCCGGCTCCTCTCTCTCAGTTTTAAAGATGGAGTCTCGCTATGTTGCCCACACGGGAGTCCAGTGGCCATTCACAGGTACAATCGCAGCTCCCCCAGCCTCAAACTCCTGGGCTCAAGCGATCCTCCTGCTTCAGCCTCCTGAGTCGCTGGGACCTCCCACCCTAGCTCCAGCGGCTTTTTTTCCTTCGGCTTTCACTGTGGGGCCTCTCCAGAGGGACGGTGCTGACACCAACCTCAGTGTCCCGGGAAAAGGCAAATTGCTACCTGGAGTTCCACGTCAGGGATTTCGTTGAACTTGGCTCACATTTATCTAAGACTAATGGAAAAAGAACCTGCCTTGTTGTAAAAAGGAGGGGGATACTGCCTCCTCATAGAAGGGGGCTTTAGGAAGATGAGGACTGCCGGGTGTGGTGGCTCACGCCTCCCAGCACTTTGGGAGGCCGAGGTGAGAGGATTGTCTGAGCCCAGGAGTTCAAGACCAGCCTGGGAAACTTGGCGAGACCTCATCTCTACAAGAAATGAAAAAATTAGCCAGGCGTGGTGGCGCGTGCCTGTAGTTCCAGTGACTTGAAGGCTGTGGTGGATCGCCTGAGCCCAGCAGGTGGAGGCTGCAGTGGCCCCAGCCTGGGCGACAGAGTGAGACTCTGCCCTCCCTCCAAAAGAAATACGAGCACAAGGTGTTCACTAAAACATGTGACTGCAAAGCACGGCACAAGCACGATGTGTTGGGTCTCACGTGCTCCAGGCACTGTCTCCCCCACGTCTACTTTGGGTAAAATCCCACCACCAAGATCCTGGCCTGAGCTGGCTGGGTTTGTCAAGACCACGCTTAAAACCCCGGTGGAGGCCCAGGTGCTTGGGCCATGGGGGGCTTGGCAGACTCTCGAGCGTATTGAGATGGTTTCTCACATCAGTCCACCCTCTGTGCTTTTCCAATGATACAAACAAACGGAGATGGAAGGCCTCCCCGGGAGGCGAAGCCCTCCTTGCGGGCAGCAGGAGTCCTCAGATCTCAGAGCCTCCCGGGTGACGCCCCGGTGGGCTTGCCCCGACGCCCCGCACTTACTTTGCCCAGCTCCTTCCTTCTGTGGGAGCCAAGCGGCCTGCTGTTTTTCACCGCCACATCTAGTGACCTCTCCTTCGCTTCCTCCATGGGAACAAAAAACTCAAATCTGAAGGAGACAAAAAGGCAGAAAAGAGATTCACATACGTCAAGCATTTTTCTTGGAGGCCTGACGTGTTTCATCTAGCTTCCGCTAAAACAGAAGACCGCAGACCATTAGGGTCTCCTGGAGCGGGCCTGGCCCGTGAGGCCCCAGTGGACCACCCCTGCAGGTCGCCAGGCCCGGTGCTGTTCACAAGCCCCGCAAGTGTCCAGAGGTGCCGTGCCTCGGCGCTGACCCTGGCTGCCACCTTTTAGCTGCCCTTCCCCGGAACGTTCCGGTCACAGGGCCACCTCCACCCTTTCTCAGTTGTCGCTTCTGACCAGCTAGAGACGAGCACCTGGCCAGCGAGCTTGGCTGCAGCTGCCTGGAAAGCAGCGGCAGAAGGCGGAGGAATGAATCTCTGTCCACAGGCTGTGTGCGCGCCCCCAGACGGCCCGGGACTCCTCGCTTCTAGGTTTCTAGGGTTGAGCGTGCCAAGCTGGCCTTCCAGATAATCCAGGATTGTCTTGCAGTTAAAGTTTCGAGAACGACTCACAGATGAAGTGAGTCACAGGAGCCACACATTCAGCATCTCCCTCCTGTGTTCCCTTTGGCAACTGTCAGAGCTCTCTCTGCGGGCACCACACTGGGAGCAGGACGGTGTCTGGCATCAAGTGCTCAGAAATGTTGAGTGAAAAAGTCTCTCCCATGCCTTTCTTGTCAAAGTCTCACTCTGTCTCCCAGGCCGAAGTGTAATGGCACGCTCACGGCCACCACAGCCTCAGCCTGCTGGGCTCAGGCCATCCTTCCGCCTCAGCCTCCGAGTAGCCAGAACTACAGGTGTGTACCACCACGCCCGGCTCATTTCTTGATTTATTGTAGAGACGAGGGTCCCACCATGTTGCCCAGGCTGGTCTCAAACCCATGGGCTCAGGCAAAAACTTTCTCACCTCGGCCTCCCAAAGTGCTGGTGCGCCTGGCCTTAAAATTAAGAGCCACTGTGCCTGGCCTTAAAATAGATTTTAAAAAATGACCACAGCCGGGCTCGGTGGCTCAGCCTGTAATCCCATACCTTGGGAGGCCGAGGTGAGTGAATTACCTGAGCCCGCGGGTTCGAGACCCGCCTGGGCAACTTGGCGAGACCTCATCTCTACAATAAATCAAAAATCAGCCAGGCATGGTAGCACGCGCCTGTAGTTCCAGCTACTTCAAAGGCTGAGGTGGAAGGATCGCCGGAGCCCAGCAGATCGAGGCTGTGGTGGCCGGGAGCGGCCACTGCACTCCAGTCTGGGCGGCAGAGGGAGACTCCAACTCAAAAATAAAAAAAAGAGGAAGAGCAGGGAACGTTCCTGATCGGGAACACTTCTGCCTTTGTGGGCAGCAGGTGCGGGCGGGCAGCCACCCATCAGCCGCCTGGCACTGCGCTTCTCCCAATGAAGTGGGGAAGCTCCCTGCAGTCAGAGGCCGCTGAAGCACGTGGCCGGCGCCGGGCACGCATCGGAAGCGGGAGGCACGCCAGGCCCCAGGCCACTCACGTCTCATCGAACAGGGGCTCCAGGGTCTTCCGCCTCACCGACGTCCTCCTCCGACCTGCCCACCTCCTCTCCGGCAACAAGTAGACGCGGACGTAGGGGTCCGCGCCGCTGCTGGTACACGGCGTCAGGTTTCTGGTTTGGTTTAGAGACATTAAGAGAAGCAAGGGCTCTGGTTTCGAACCCCAAACGTGCTCACTGGGGAGAAGGCTGCCCCAGCCATTCGGCTTCAGGTGGGCGTGAGGGGTTTGCTCTGCGGTCTAGGCAGGCAAAAGCTGCAGTCTGCAGAACTCAGAGGATGGCAGGTCAGATGCCTGGCTTTGAAAACACACATTTTAGCCGGGCTCGGTGGCTCAGCCTGTCATCCCAGCGCTCTGGGAGGCTGAGGTGAGTGGATGGCCTGAGTCCGCGGGTTCGAGACCCGCCTGGGCCACTTGGCGAGACCGCATCTCTACAATAAATCCAAAAAATGAGCCGGGTGTGGTAGCGTGCGCCTGTAGTTCCAACTCCTTGGAAGGCTGAGGCGGAAGGATCGCTGGAGCCCAGCGGGTCGAGCCTGCAGTGGCCGGGAGTGGCCACTGCACTCAGTCTGGGCGACAGAGTGAGACTCCAACAAAAAAAAAAAAAGAAAGAAAACACGCATTTTTATAAATGGGGTAAGCAAGTCCCCGCCACCTGAGGGCAGTTGGAGTCTCTCTCGCAAGAAACACACTGACTGCTAACCCTAACCCCAGACGGCTTCGAGCACTCGTGTCTGAGCAAAGCCCATCAGCATCAGTGAAGAGTGCCCCCGAGGTGCCCTTCTGAGGACTGTCCCTCACACACAGGCCTCACGTCTCCTTTCTTCCCAACGCGTTGCCCATCTGCCTGGAGGCAACACGCCCCCCTCACGGCTCCAAGTGCCCTGCTCCGATCCGTGCCCACCTGACCCCCCGAAGGACCTCCCGGCCCCGCGTCCCCGCACCTGCAGCCGTTGACAAGCACGCGGAGGCAGCGCCGCAGACACACGTAGCGCACCGTGAGCTGAATCTCGCCCAGCCGCCGCTGCCGGGGCTCCCCGCCTCTGCCAAGAAAGAGCGGTCACTCGTCCTGGCCAGCGCCGGGCCTCCCCCCGCCCCAAGGCCGCGAAGCAGGTCCTGCTTGAGGAGAAGAGAGGCGCGTGGGCTGCCAACTCCCCGCGGGCTTCCCCTCAGCCGGGAGCCAGTGCCACCTCGCCTCCGTGCAGAGTTCTGCTTCTTGGCAGTAAGAAGAGCTGGACCCTGGAGTGGGAGCTGCCTTTAGTGGTGGCCCTAGGGGGACTCTGGGTGGATGCGCTCTACCTCTGTGAAGGTAAGCTCTGTCTGGGAGAGCTATTGTGAAGGGTGAATTCAATGAGGTGACATGTCAAGCCCACAGCAAACCCTTCGAAAATGACAGCCACGTGTGACATAACCCCACATTTCAAGCCTTCCATCTCATCCTGGTGGAAAGACTTCGTTTCCTGAACTCTCTAGAATTCAGGTAACGGTTCTGCTGAAAAGGGCCTTATCAAGCCAAGTCCAGCATCTACGCACGTTTTACGGCCCGCATAGACGCACGACCGGAGCCCGCCCCAGCCAGGGTGCTCTCTCCCTGTGCTGTGTTCTCTCTGCCACAACACGCGGCCTCTCATGAAGGCATTTTGCGAACAAGCATAATCGGAACGGAAATGTAAGTTCCTATCTCCTTTTCCGTTCAGGGAGGCATTTTGCATGCAGGCGGTTTTGGAGAAGATGAAGCAGAGAGGTGCATACTCGGTGTTGAGGCTGACCGCTGTGAGGTCAAAGCAGGAAGAGGCCAGGGAGTTGAGCGAGGACATGCTGGGAGCCGGCCTCGCAGGCGGCCATGCGAACGGGGAGGCGGGGCGTGTCAGGGGTCGGGGTGACTTGACGGGCCCTGGAGAGTGGGGGCCTGGGACAGTCAGGAAGACGCCGGCTGCTCTCCTCTTCTCCCCCACGGGCTCGCGGAGCCCTCTGGCACTGTCCTTGCCTTTGGGCTCTGGGCCTGTCTCTTGGGGAGCGGGCTGGGCGGCAGCGGTGGTTGCGGTGGTCTCCCTGGAGGTGTCCTTGGGGTCAGAGGCAGGGTCGGGGGGGCGTGGCAAGTCTCCCGGGCCTTCCTCCTGGGCTGGGGCTTCTGGACCCTGGCCGGTGGCCGCCTTCTTGACGAGCAGGGGGCCTTTCTTGAGGGCGTCGGGGCCTGTGTACGGGCTCCCCAGCTCTCGCTCCTCCACACGCAGGAACTGCAAGCAGACGGCAGGGCTGCTTATGGGCGGGCGGCCCAGCCCTTCCCGGCCCCCCATGGAGCTTCCCCTTCCCGGCCCCCTCCGTCGTCTGTGCTCCAGACCCCTCCCGATGCCTTCCACCACCAGCAGTAAACACGGAGGGCCACATATCCTGAAAAACGTCTCATCAGAAATGCCAAGTAAAGTTAAACAGACATCCTTTAAGTGCCCGGCCAAGTTCACAAGAAAATAAGGGCAATTCTATATAAAAGAGAAATTGAAAAACAAAAGCCAAGCTTCCCCAGGTCATTTGTCAGCCTTGGAATTCAAGGAATTAGGAGAAGCAATTGTCAGTCATTGTGAGGCTGGGAGCTACAGCGAGACCTGTGAAGGTGGGGGGGAAAGTGAAAAAGTAGTCTGGAATAGCAGAAACGGATGACAAGATGTGTTTGTCCCAGCCCCTCACTGGGAGGACAAATCTTCCCTGAGACATCTGTCCTCCTTTCGAATTTTGAGTATAAATATAAATTCCCAGTGGGGTCTTGAAACCCAAAGCTCAATTAACATAAAAATGGACTTAGGTTTGCAGTGCACTGAGGTGCTTGGCTACAGCAAAAACTGAAACCCCTTGGAAGCGAACAACCTCAACCCAGGCCACAAAGGAGCCCTGAACACACACCTGCAAACCAAGTTATGAAACACAGACATGAGTTGCCATCAAAAAGCAAACAAACATCAAGATCACCAATGACAGAATTAGCAGACATGCATCGCAACAAAGTATTTTCAAATTACTAAAGATGGAATATACACATGAGAAGATATAAAACTCTACGAAAAAGACCAAGTGGATTTGGAAAAGATAAAATTAGGAAGGAAAACTCACCATGATTAAAGCCATGAACAGGTTAAAGAGCAAACTAGGCATAGCCAAAGAAAGAATTAGTGGTCTGGAAGACAGCTCTGAGGAAATTAGAAGGTAGCACTGTGAGGTTCAGAGATGGGAAATATGAAGGAGAGATCAAGAGACATGGAGGGTGATGAAAGGTTCCGTTATAGAAGTTCTAGGAGGAATTTAAAGAGTGGGAGAGAGGCGATATTTGAAGCGATAACAGCTGACAGCATTCCAAAATTAACGCAAAAATCCATGGACCCATCTTCTGGCTTCTTCCACACACATAGCGCAAGGGAGCCCCCCCTGCTCCACAGCCAGAGCTCCGTCTCCCCTCCCCCAGGGATGGGCGAGGCTTACCCGGAGTACCAGCCTCAGGGAGATGAGGCTGTCCAGGCCTGAGTGGTCCAGCTGAAAGTGCTGCTCGAGCGTCAGGTCGGCATAGGGGAGTATCTGGCACAGGGGGAGCTCCAGCACACCCAGGGCGCAATCCTGGTCATCATCAAGCACCTGGGTAGCACACCCATCACCAATGAGGACAGTCAAGGCCCACCGTGTCATGAGCACCACCACCACAGGGGTGCCCGCCAAGGCTGGGCTTACTGCACTTCTAGTAGCATCGGGGCTATTTCGGAAGCTGGAATGGGACCAGGGCAGACGGTCCCTGCCTTCAGGGGGCAGAGAGTGACCCAGAGCAGAGGCAGTGACGAGGTGAGTCTGCTGCATGCCAGGCCTGCAGGGGCCTCAGGGGCTGACGGGCACACAGGCAGAGGGTCCCAGAGGCCCAGCCCCGCTGCTCGCCGTGAGATCCTGGACAAGCCATTGTTCTGGCCTCTCTGCTCATGTGTAAACTAGAGACGACAATGACTCCCTCCCCCAGAGCTGACTACTGTCCGGGGTGGATTCCAGCCAGGCCCCCTGGGTGCCATGGAGGTGACTCCTTTTGCAGGGAGCGTGGCCCTACCCAGGACCCTGGGCACGGACCTCGGAGGCGAGGCCTGGTGGGCCTCCCACCCCCCGGCGGAGTCTCCCTCGGGGCCCAGGGCAAGCAAACCTCCAGATGCAGCTGCTCGGCGGCCGCGTTGCGCACAAAGAAAGAGAAGGCCTGGCTCCACACGGGGTCCTTGCTGTGGGGACAGGTCTGGGGGCAGAAGAGGAGGGACCATCCAAGGGTTAGGCTGGGCATCTATGGACACCGGCACCCTCTGTCCCCACTCTGGCCACCAGGACCCCTGCGTGTGCCTGGGTCACACGTGCCACAGCTGGTGGGAAGATGAGGTGGGACAGTCACTTGCAGGGGAGGGGTGTTCGGCCGGGGGGGAGGGGTTGGTTGGGAGCATCACAGCAGCCTCAGACCCGCCGGAGAGAGAGCCAAGCGCTTTGCTGCCCGTGTCCTCAGCAGGTCGTGTGTCTCCGGGCCTCGGACTCCTGAGCTCGTCAGCGAGGTCACAGTGAGGACCCCACAACACCAAGCACCCCCGGGCGTCCACGTGCGCCAGGGCCCCCTGCCGTGCCCAGGGCGGGGCCGGCCCCCTCCTCACCCTGGACCGCACACCGGCCGGCTCACCTTGCTCGTGAGCGTCTTCTTGCCCACCGACAGCTTGACGTAGGAAGAAGGGTCCCTGCTGGCCTTGTTCTGCGAGGAAGCAAGTCCACAGGTGACCGTGGTGCGCCACGGCGAGCTCGAGGCAGCCCCCACCCCACGGGGCGGCCATGGGCCTGGGGCCGGCCGACCGCTTTCCTCCAGAGAAGCTGCCTGGTGCCCGCAGGCTCTCGGGTGGCCATGACGCACAAGCGCCGGGGCAGGACGGACCCCAGAAAGAGGTTCATGCTCAAGGCCAAGGCCAGAGCAGGCCCGCCGGGCAGCTCTCGTATCCCGGGCGATGGAGACGGCTGGAGTCGGGTTCTGGCCCGTCCCCTCAGCTGTGCGACCCAGGCACTCACGCGGATGCAAATTAGTGACTCAGCCCACAAGGAACCTGGGGATAAGGAGCACGGGGAACAAGCAGCCAAGCCCAGTACATGGCACCCAGCAGGCTCCAGGGCTGGCGCCTCCAGGGGTCCCGGCAGGCTGTGACTACTCCAGGAGAGGAGCTGTGATCTCCCCCGGCGGCTCGCAGCCACGCACTCACCCTGGCACACCTGGAGAGCTTTTTGGCTCGGTACTCGCCGTTCAGGTAGTCAAAAGGGTTTCTCTGAGCACAAGAACAACGGGGTTCAGAATACAAGGGCCGGGAAAGGGGCAGACACAGGCAGGGCGTGTGCCAGGGCGACTGACCCTGGCGGGTCCTTGTCTGTGGGCACTTCCCGAGCAAACCTCTCCCAGCCTGGGCCCTGGGGATGCCCAGGGAGTTTCCCCGCACTGGAGGTGGCCCCACTCACCGGCAGGTTGCAGGCACTCTCCAGGAAGACCACGAGGACGGCAGTGGAGAGGCCGCCGTGGTCCTGCAAAGACAGAGACCCTCATGGGTGCCCCATGGCAGGAGAGAGAGGCCGGTCTTGGAGAGGCCCCCCACGGCAGGAGGGAGCCAGCGGCCCCTCACGCCAGACCAGCCACCGAGAGGCCTCCACACCTGGCTTTGTGGAGCTAAGACTATGGCCACGACGCAACAGGTTCAGTTCGAGTCGGGCTGACAGGCACTGACACAGCCCTAAGACCCATCATGACCGAAAGTGACAGAGGGGCTCGGAGGATGGTGCCAAAGGTGGAGCTGAAGCAGGGTGGGGGCTTTCCTGCCCTCCCACCTGCCTCTCCCTCCCTCCCGGCCGCCCTCCCTGCACCCAGCCCGCCCGTGGGCCCCTCCGCGCCCGCACACACCTCCGTCAGCGCTTCCTGGTCAGTGAGCAGCGACAGCCACTCCAGCCGCAGGTGCAGCCGCCCGCTGGTCGTGTTGTTCAGGACAAACCACTGTGGGCGGGGGCGGGGAGCTCAGGGGACAGGCCAGGGAACCCCACCGACCCGCTAGACCGCCCCGGGAACGCTGGAGCCCCAGCAGGGACCTCGGGCAGAGGCGCGCCAGCCCAAAGGGCGCCGGCTGGGCTCAGATGGTGGGAGGGGCGGGCATAGGAAGACGGGCGCCTGCTCCCCCACCACGCGACTGACCCCGGCGGGTCCTTGTCGGTGGGCACTTCCGGGGCAAGCCTCTCCCAGCCTGGGCCCTGGGGATGCCCAGGGAGTTTCCCGCACTCCCAGAACACCTGCCCTCTGTGCCTCAGCCAGCGCTGGCCTGAGGACGGCCCCGCGGGCCGCCCAGCTCACAGGGGACCACTTTGTGGACTGGCTGGGCTGAAGCACCCGCGGGAGCTGCCCATGGAAAGAACAGATGCCACACCCCGGGGCGAGGCCCCAACACTACCTCATCCACCACCCTGTTGGTCTTGACATCCCCGAGGCAGATCTGCAGGCTGGAACACAGGGAGGGGTCAGCTCAGTGGCGGCGCACACGCTGGGAGCCCACCCTCAAACGTCAGAGGATCCTACTCATCCCACAGAACCCAAGGAGGCCATTTTCAGCACCAGGGAAGGAAAGACGGGCTCCGTCAGGGCTGCCCTGGGGCGTGCTGCCCGGGAGGCTGCTGTCCCCAGGAACTGCTGGACACACCGCCTGGTTCTCAGCGACAGTGCCACTGGCCGTCGGTGTGGGGCGATTCCTCTAAAATTTTTTTTTTTTGAGTTGGAGTCTCTCTCTGTCTCCCAGGCTGGAGTGCAGTGGCCGCTCCCGGCCACCCCAGCGTTGACCTGCGGGGCTCAGGCGATCCTTCCACCTCAGCCTTCCAAGTAGCCGGAATTACAGGCATGCACTACCATGCCTGGCTAATTTTTTGATTTATTGTAGAGATGAGGTCTCGCCAAGTTGCCCAGGCTGTTCCTGGACCTGTGGGCTCAGGCAATTTCCTCACCTCGGCCTCCCAAAGTGCTGGGATGACAGGCTTGAGCCACCATCCCTGGCCTATGTATTATTTTTAATTGCGTATTTCATTCTTCTTCTTTTCTTTTTTTTAAGTTGGAGTCTCACTCCAGTGCCCAGGCTGGAGTGCCATGGCACACTCATGGCCACCCCAGCGTCAACCTGCTGGGCTCTGGCGATCCTTCCGCCTCAGCCTTCTGAGTAGCTGGAACTACAGGCACGCACTACCATGCCCAGCTAAATTTTGACTTATTGTGGAGACGAGGCCTCACCAAGTTGCCCGGGCTGGTCTTGAACCTGCAGGCTCAGGCAATCCACTTGCCTCTGCCTCCCAAAGTGCTGGGATGACAGGCTGAGCCACCGAGTCCAGTGCAATTCTTCTTTGTGCATAACTGCCCACACGTCGCAGGAATTGGTCCCGCACCCTCCAAATGCCCAAGGCGCCACCTGCCTGCCATTCTTACAACCCAAGTGCCCCTTGGTTTCCAGAACCATCCAGGTGCCCAGCCAGGGCGAGTGCAGTCGGCCTGTGTGTGCGGAGGAGGTCACTCACACCACCGAGCGCCCCGGCCCACCTGCAAGCCCAGCCAGAGTCCTGGGAGCCAGGGGGAAGAGGTGATTCTAGGTGACTGGAGAAACAGGCTTGCGCGCACAACACCTGAAATCAGCTCCATCCAGCACGAGCATAGCCACACTTCTGACCTGAGCTGGATTAGAGGCGACATGACGGAAACCACAGCTGTGTTCACAAAGACGGAAAACAGGCCGGAGGCAGCAGCTCACACCTGTCATCCCCACACTTTGGGAGGCTGAGGCGGGAGGACTGCTTGAGCCCAGGAGTTTGAGGTCAGCTTGGGCAACACAGCGTGGCCTCGTCGCTACAAAAGAGTAAGGAAAATTGGCCAGGTATGGCGGCAGGTGCCCGTAGTTCCAGAGACTTGAGAGTCCGAGGAGGATCGCCGGAGCCCAGGAGGTTGAGACTGCGGGAGCCGTGACTGGGCCACGGCCCTCCAGCCTGGGCGACAGAGTGAGACCCAACTCAAAAACGCGCGACGGCATCTGGTGGGTGCTGTTTCTCAGACTGCCAGGCTGTGCCCCCCCAGGATGCTTTGTCTCCACTGCCTTCTCTGCCCCTGATCCGAGAGACGCGGTGTGCCGTTTTTGTGCCCCTCTGCCACGCAAAACACACGCTCAAGGGTCCTCTCCAGAAAAGACTACCGACGACACAGGTCGCCAGCGGCCCCCACCTGCCACCACAGTGTGGCTGTCCTCTAGGCCAGCCTCTAGTCGCTCCCTGTCTCTCAGAGCTGCAGACTACCCTATAGTCTGTAGCCGTGACACATCCATTCAAGCGTTCAGCAAGTGTCCTCCGAGGCTGAACCTCCACGTTTTGGGGCTGTCTCGCTACCAGAGACTTCTGCAATCAACCCTTCCGGTCCTGCTGCTCTTATGACAGGCTCCCGCCAGGGGGGCTGCTGGGTCAAAAGACCGGCCACTCCCCAGGGCGGACAGCCAGCCCCGCCCAGCCATTTTGGCCTCCACAGCCCTGGGGGCCCGGGTCTCACCAAGAGGGGCTGGGGATCCCTGGGACTGGGCATCTGGCTGGCCACGCCAGCCTGGCCCACGGCTCCCAGGGGGGACGCGCCCGTCACCAGGAGGGCAGGAGGCAAGGCCCGCAGTGCACGCAGCCAGCCGGGGTCCTGGCTGCGCCCCGGGGCTGAAGTCAGGGCAGGGCCCGGCAGGGCAAGCTGTGCAGGGCCGTGGAGCGGCAGGGCAGGCTGCTGTGCCCCCGGGCCCGGCTGCAGCCCTCACCTGCCCAGAAAGTCGTCCCTGTCGGGGTCCTCGTCGTAGAGGTCCACCTCCAGGTCCTGCCCGGGGACTTCATACACCAGGAACTGGAAGGAGAGAGAGGTAGTGACCGCCGGCCACAGCGACTAGTGACTCTGCCTCTCGCAGGCCCCGAGAGGAGCCCGGCCCCAGCTGGGGACTCCGGCAGGTCCCTGACCTGCTTTCCCGGGGCCTTGAGAAGCCCACCAAGGCAGGGAGTGACGCCCCCCCACAGGGTGGGAGGATTGCCCGCGGGCACCGGACGGCCATGCCGCCTCTCACCACACCCGCTTTGTGGCCCCGCCCCCAACACTGGAGGTGCCCGGGGAGGGTCACCCAGGGCGGCCCCTGGAGAGCGCCATCGGACGGCCCCCAGGCTGCAGCCCACCCTCCACGGAGCAGGGGCTGGGGTGGAGCTTAAGGAAGAGCCTTGGGCTCCGGTGTTTGGCCCTGGCGGGGCGGCTGCAGGGAGGGCTCTGAAAACCTCCTGCAAAGTCGGAAGGCAAAGGAGGCGTTCGCCGTTGGGCAGCCCTCGGGGCCTGGAGCCAGGGGAGGAGCAGGGATCCCACAGACCCACCAGCCGTGGCCGAGGCCCGCTGCCCCGGCCCGGGGTCTGTGGGGGTCACGCGGGAACGGCCCTCCCTTGTCTGCGCCCAGCACGGCCGGGGCGGGGCCTGGAGCAGCCGGGGACCCACCTCAAACACCTCGTTCCAGGTGGGGTTCAGGTTCCGGTAGACGGTCCCGCTCCGGAAGTGCTGCAGGCCGATGCTCACCTTGGCGTAGGGGTCGGACTTGCCGCGGAGCCCCAGGAAGCCGTCCATTGGGGCCAGGCTCTCCGCCTCCAGCAGGTGGACTCTGATCACTCCCTGGAAAACGCCCAGGGGCGGGGCTCAGGCTGCCTCCTGGCCACGCCAGTCCGGGGCCCGGGGTCCAGCGAGAGCCACCGGTCCTCCCAGCCACCCCTTTTGTGGCCTCCACCGTCTGGCGGGGCAGACAGAAGCCAGAGACGTCAGCTGCCCGGCCAAGGCCACACAGCAAGTGCTGGTGGGCCCAAGGCTCTCTCTGCAGCGCGGAAGGCCCCACCCACGATGCTGGCCGCCACACACTCCAGGCTCCACACCGCCACGCGAACAGCTTATTCGGCTGCAGCTGTCCGCTGCTTCTGGACCAACAGCCAAGTCTCCTCCTCTCTCCAGCTCCGCGGAGGCCTGCACGTAGCCTGAGTCCTAGCATCCCTTCTTCCCAACTCCCAGGGGTCCACACCCAGGGGGCCCTCCCGCTGGTGGCCAGGCACTCACAGCCCCAGCACGCCATCTCACCCCATCCCCGCCCTGGGCTATGCCACAGGACAGACGCCCCTCCTCCACTCACGCAGAGGGGTGTCCAAAAAGGATGAGAAAAAGCAGAACTCTGTTAATAAAGAACAGAGCCCAGGAATTAGGGAAAGCACAGCTCACAGGGTTTGAGGCAGGCCTCCTTTGCAAGTTGTTTGTGTTTTTAGAAAGCAGGATTTATTAAGAGGACAGAAGAGCTCCCACAGTGGGAGGGGACCTGCGAGGGTTGCCTTGTAAATTGTTTTTAATATCGGTAAATACGCACGCGTTCACCCTTTGACCCAGAAAGCCCACTTCTAGGAATCCGCCCCAAGGGCACACGGGCAAAATTATCAGAAGACATGTGCCAGGCTGCTCACACCGCTGCTGTGGAGAGCAGACGCTGACACAGCATAGTGGCCGTCACAGGGAACAGGGGGAACGGGTGGAATGAGTGGCAGGGCAGGCCCGCGGCGGCGAACTCGCCAGCTGCCAAAAAGAGCGTGGGAGACCCTGTCTACGCTGCCACGGCGTGGTCCCGTGACACATCCAAAGGTAAAAGCACGGAGGAGTGGACGGCGGAGCTGCCACCTATCAGGGAAAGGAGTTGCCGCACGTAAACAGAGGCGCGCACGTGTGACCGCAGAGACGGGTCTGCACACGTCAGTATCAAGTCATGAAAAGAAGGAGCCAGCACCACGTCCAGGGGAGCACGGGGTCGGGGGCGGGGCCGGGAGGTGAGCCAGACGCCTTCAAGGAGAATTTGGGATGTGGCTGGACTTTGGAAACGTACGACGCAGCCACAAAGAAGGACAAAATTGTGAATTTCTCCGGAAGTTGGATGGACTCACAGTCGATCGTACTCCGCGATCTATCACAGAAACTAAGAACTGAGTACCACGTGTCCTCACTCATAAGCGGGCCCTGAACAATGATCAAAATGCTACAAAGAAAGAGATTGGCAGTAGCCAGAAACTGCCAGGGGGAGGCTGGGGGGACGCTTGATCAATAAGGGTGCCTGATCTCAGACCAGGTGAAGTGGGGACCAAAGGGAGGCCCAAACTTTCCCTGTACGATGACCCTTTGTATACCTAACCCTGAAATGTGCCCCGCATCTTTAAAATATAAACTTAAAAAAAATTGTAACCCCCTGCCCAAAAGGAAACGTCCAGCCAGCTGGTTAAGGTAAAAATTAAACTCTCAAACCAGAGAACAGAAGGAAACGCATGGCGGTAACTCGTGGCCAGTTGTCCTCACACAGAGGATGGTCCCGAGTTGAACACCCAGTGATGTCAACGCACCCCAGGCGGGCTGCACTAAGGACAGATGGTCTCGCGTGATTACGGCGCAGTGTCGACACTGCTCTCCATGGCCCGATGTGAAGGCCGAGAGGACACACATGCTTTCTCCTGGCCTCAGCTCTGTGGATGGTGCCGGCCGGAGCGTGCAACAGGCGAGTGTGAGGATGACGGTGTCCCCTGACACTGAGGGCAAACCCGGGTGCTCTGCACCACCCTGCGGCCCGGCTCCCAGCAGCTGAGGCCCACCCAGGGCTCCTCTCTGAAGGGCAGCCCTATGGCTGTTCCCAGCCCTATAGCTGTTCCGGAGCTGGGCCCGGGTGGGGGGACAGTGGCTCAGCTCCCGAAGAAGCCCCGGCCCTGGCCCAGCCTGGCTTCCCGTCCCAGACCCCCAGACGCCACCCAACGGAGGCATGCAGGGAGCCCTGCACCCCTGAAGGGGAGACAAGGACTCCCAAGATTTCAGGGGTGACAGCCGCCAGCCGTCCGACACAAGCCACACGGCGGGACCGGCCTGGAAAGGGATGCCGGCCCAGGCCTTGCTCCTGCTTCCACGTGTAACTCTGGGTGGCCTCCTTCCCGGAACACGGAGATGCCACGCCCTCGGGCGGAAATGAGGATCCGTGTCTGAGATCGCAGGGCAGCCCCTGCGGCCCTGACCCCAGCCCGGCCCTGGGGCTGCCCGGTACTCACGCAGGGCAGGGGGAAGCGCAGGGTGGTCACGTCCAGCCCCTTCTTCACGGGCACGGTCACGCGGTTCGGCAGCACCAGGTGGGCGGCGATGAGGTCCTCCAGCAGGCTGTCCGTCACCTCGCTGGGACACCAGGCACGCGGCTGAGCGGGGGGGCGCGACACCCCCACCTCCTGGCCCTCTGTCTCCCCCAGACCAGGAGCCCCGGGAGCAGCCCAGACTCCTCTTGGCCACACGGGGCTGGGGGTGCCTATGCATGTGACAGCCCCCATGTCCCCGCCCCGTGCCCCTCCTGCTCATGCTCTTCCAAGGCAGCAGGGCCCTGGAGGCTGGGATGGAGCTCCCACTGTGCCACCGCCTGCCGTGTGGGCCTGGCCCATCCTCATCTCCAAGAAGGGGCCATGGGGGTCAGAGGGCGGCCGAGTCCACGCAGGTGCTCCGCTCCCTGGTTCCACACTCTCTGTCCACCGCCTGACTCACCCCGTCCAGGAGACGGGAGGCAGGGAGGGGCCTGGAGCAGGCAGCCGGCAGGGGCGCTCCCGGGAGATTTCTGAATGAGCGCACCTGGACTGCCCACATTGCCAACGAGTGAGCGAGTGACCTGGCGAGCCAGCTGGAGCCAGCCTGGGAGAGGCCTGTCCGGGGGGCCGGGGCCACCCAACCTCTCCAGGGGCCTGGGGCTCTGAGACCACCCCCCTGCCCTGGAGTAAGGTCTCCAGGACCGCTCCTCCTCACGGGCCCCTGCCGTGACGGTGCCCCTCCATGCCTGTGTTTGCACTGTGGTCGGGGAGCCAGGGAGCCCTCTCGCCGCACACGTGGCTTGGGAGAGGGTGGAGAAAGGACACGCTTGGGTCCACACCACGGCGCCCCTACCACACACACTGAGTGTGCTCCCGGGAGCCCAAGACGAAAAAGCCAGGCTCTACTGGAGGGGAAGTGACTTGCCCACGGCCACTCGGCTGCCAAGTGGCAGAGCCAGGAGCCGGCTGCGTCTGGTTCCAGGCCCATGCAGCCGCCTCTGGGGCCACAGCTCAGGGGTTCAGAGCCTCTCCCTGCACCAGGACAGGGACCCGAGAGTCCGCCAGCCCAGCATTCAGCAAAGCACTTCCCGTCCACGGCATGTGCATGCATGTGCACGCGTGTGCATGTGTGTGTGTTTGGGCACACCGCCTGCCCACAGAGGCCATGCCCCGCCGCCAGTCTCCCACCCCCCACTCCAGGCACACCAGGCTTCTCCCCCAGAGCAAGCGGGAGGGAGGGCGTGGCCACTGAGCAGCTCCTTGCTGGCTGCAGAGCCCAAGGCCCAAACACGCAGGGTCTCCTGGGCACCTACTTGATTCCCGGTGCATCCAGCAGGTTGGTCAGGCCTGTCCAGTTGATCTGCAGGTGCTGCGGGAGCAGAGCGAGGCCCTCAGGCTGGAGGGGGACCCCAGGGCTGAGAAGCCCCTCACCCAGTGCCTCCCACCCGGAGGGAGCCCCAGCCTACAGGGCACCCTTCAGGGCGGTCAGGCAGGCGAGGCCCCGCCCCGCCCCGCGTT